TTTTGCGACATAAGTCAGAGACACGGGTTTGGAGAGCCAAAATTGAGTTGACAATAAAATGGTGATAGTCCCCCTCAAAAGAACACGTATCAATCATCGCAGGCAGTTGTCGCATCCAGGAGCCCAAGGGTACTAGAGCATCTCCTCAAAATACCGAACCAATCTGAGGCGAAGAGGCCTGGACCATCGGAGTAGTTGGTAGTTGAGGGGCCAAGATGGGTTTCTTTTCGGACATCCAAGGACCCGCCTGTCACCGCTAGACGAGTTTTGTGCAAGCCTGTCGTGGCAGAGGTACACTCGCTGCAAATGGGCAAAGCTTCACTTTGCAGCCATGAAAGTATGACAGGGAGACAGTCTGGATGGTTGACTTTCACAAAATAATTGTACATCACAAAGATAAGGGAAGTTGAGATTCGAAATTCACAAGTGCGCTCTTCGGTAGATGGAGGAAAATTATTGAACCCTCCGCCTCTTGCGCGGCATGTCCTGTGGAGCCAGCAGCAGCTCCTTAGGAATGTGCTCGCACTCATCATACACATGGTCCACATACTTGGCCTCCCCACTGAAGTTCTTCCCACACATTCGACACTCGACACGTCCACTTTTGTAATGCGCGGTAGCAATGTGCTCTGGAAGGTCCGCAAGCGGGAGGTGCGCCGAGCACCTGGGGAACCGACACTCGACTTCGTCCGTCTCTGCGGCGCGTCCACCGCCTCCCGCGACAAAGTGTGGGTGGCGGGTGCAGTGGTGCTTTGTGATTTCGGTAGGGCTGCTCCCGATGATGTCCCAGCAGCGGTCGGCCCAGTTACAGGTGAAGCACGTGCCCTGGTATATACGTATAGGGCTCAGAAGAGCGTGTGGGATGCCGCGGAATGCGTCTGCGAGGTCGTCGATTTCCCTTCGCAGCACGTCGTGGGCCATTGGATGCGCTGCGGCATCCTCATCCAACTCGCGCCAGATTTCAACATTTTCTTTGATATCCCTGAGCTCCATAAGAACGCAATCAATTCAAGACAGGATGACGCTGCGTACTTCAAGATTTCATCCATTTCCTCTGAAGTCCTAGGAGGGTCGATCTGCTTTTGAAACACAAAGCCAGCGGAGCCGTCGTCCAGGTTGATGGGGAACATCGATGCGTAAACGTTTCCATGCAAATACGGGGAGTAATCAGGATCGACGGCCAAGGCAGAACACTCCTCAGCAGGCGCTTCCCAAGCCTTCACCCAGTCGTGCACTTCTGTTGTAGGCGGTCTGGCAAAACGTCTCAGGAAATCCATGTGAAAAAAGAGTCGATGCCACTCACAATGCCTTGAAGCTAAATGGGGCCGAGGGAAAGGATGTTGTGCGCGAACCTGCAGTATCTGGGCTCGACCTGGGTGGCATGCAGCATCAGTAAGAAAACCAGAAATGGCTGGTAGCACGCACCTCTCCCCAAAATCATCAACACTCATATCAGTGTCTCCTATATTGAAACAGCTGTATGTTGTAGCCTTCGACCAAAAAATTCAAAGATCAGCGGGAGCTAGTAGAACGCATAAAAAAAATTGTTTGGAATCGCGGCTTTATACCCTCAGTATCTCAAAATGGAAACCAGGTGGCTCCTCGCATAGCGGTGACGATCGATCAAAGTCAAGCCGCGAGGAGAATTCGTCCAACAGTTCGTTTGTGGGTCACCATGCCAAGTCCATGGGTGGCTCATTGAACATTTCATTCTGACGAAAGAGTTGATATCCACTCCAGGTCCCTTTACTAAGGCCAAGCTTCAGGATGATCTTGCAACAAGAAGTTGGCCACATCAGTAAAACTACACTTTCGTCTTTGACGTCTTTGGTGTCTTTGGAAAGATGTGAAAGATGCCAAAGACAGATTTTCCCCAAAGACCTGGCGTCTTGGTTGATCAGATCCACTTGTCTTTGAAAGACAGCACATCTTTGCCAAGACATCAAAGATCTCGAAAGTCTTTCTCAATCTATATTCAAAGATACTTCACTTCACTCCAAGACATTCATAAGACAGAGAAATATGATATATTCCAAAGCATATGTAAGTAGTACAATAAGCCCTAAACAACCCTAGGGTGTGTTTCCCCTCGCGTACACCCACACACATTGCACAGCGTGCGCGCGCCCTCTGGTCCCCTCCGCCACTCAGGTGTCTCGCGGATGTTGCACGAGTAACGCTTGCCCTGCGGCATCGCCCGTTGCCCAGACCAATCACGGGAACGCACGTCAGCACACGCCACGCACAGACCTAAAAATGAGCACTCACACTGCGCTTGTGGTACTTGGTCTTCAGCTGGCCCGTGCCAACCCCCGAGCCGCTCGCGGCGGTCATCGCACGCTTCATGTGGATGAGCTCCAAGTCCTGCTCCACGGTCGTCTGCAGCGGTGGGCTCGGCTTCATGTCTGTCGGCGTCGGGTACGGTGGTTGTGGGTCCTGCGCTCGACAACACAATCGGCTCGCAGCACAAAGAGGATAGAGGCACAAAACGCACCTCGAACTCGTCCACCTGGTCGTCCATCTCGACCTCCTCCCACCAGCGCTTCGGCGTGCGCTGGTCTGCGTCTGTGTCTACGTTGACCTGCATCGGCTGTGCCTCTCCGGCAGGCACTCCACCCATACACCGCAGCTCCTCGAGCAGGCACTCGACCTCATTCGCGTGGCACTCCATCTCCTCGACCTCACCCAGCATCGGCTGCACGTGGGGCAGCGATGCTTGAAGTTGCGCTGTATGTTGTCACCTGTAAATAAATAGAAAATGAAAGATACATTTGTCACACACCGTAGCGGCCGGCGAATGAGTACAGCACTGCACAGCGTTCTGGGATCTAGAGTTTGCATCAACGTCTTGCCCATAAATAAAACACGAGACATCACGCACCCCAGCCATCGTCCCGTTGCGCGCCGAGAAGTTCGGCTGCTCGTCCTGCTGGTGCTGGGTGCTGGCTCTGGCTCTGCTGCGTGTTTGGATGCAGGTGGTGCGCGTTCTGCTGCTGGTGCTTGCCCTTGGCGACGTTGACATTGACGTACAGGTCACGCACAGGCGGCACACGGTCAAGGCTGTAGGCACGAGTGGTGTCATCATGCGCGCGACGAAAAGGATGACCAGCTGGCACAGCGTGGAGGAGCAAAACAAAAGTAGACACCGAGAGCATCAGAGTTTTGCATACAGAAGTCAGGGACAAGGAACACGATGTAGTGCCAACCAGTGAAGGATAGGAAGTATAACTCGGACCAGAACCAGCAGAGAGCACCAGAGAGCGTGGACTTGGTAACAACTTGGCTGAGTGCGCTAGGCTTGAGGGGAGACTGTGACTTGCAGCAGGGAAAGTGGAACGACATCTGCACGGAGTCAGTGGTCATTGGTGGGGAGAAAAGAGATCGACAAACCACATTGTGATGCTGATGTGACTCATGTGCACGGACCATGTCGGAGTTTGAATGACTTTGCCTTTCACAATTGTTTCATGACGGACATTTCTACCTATACCAGAGCAACACGTACAACATTGGTCCCCATTACTCAGTGTGGGGGAGTGATTTGGATCTTCAATACAGTGTCTGCTTGGTATAATGAAAAATTCTGGAGTCCTCTGCTGTGTCCTCAAGCTCTCCGCTCATAGTACTACTCTATTGCACACCGTGCAGCCTAAATGCTGGTCAAGCTTTCTCTAGTTATAATCATGGCTTCCTTTTTGTATAGACACTATTCTGGAAGTAAGCTGGTGAATTTATATATATTCCAACCGGTGAACAGAAGATGTGCTGGTAAAGATGAAAGATGGAATTGTACAAGACAAAAGATGCTCAAAGATGTCTTTGATGCTCAAAGATGTCTTTCAAAGACAGAATATCTCCATCAAAAGACAAAGATACCAAAAGATGCCTTTGAAAGACAAAAGATGCCAAAGACAAAAGTGTAGTTTTACTCAAGGGGGAACAAAGATAAGAAAAAATGATATCACCTACAAATTTTTTTTTTCAGACCCTTGGGCGGTTGACCTACCTACACGGTCACGTGCTGGGAAAATTGCCTTTTTTGGAACGGCATTTTCCGCGAACCGCTCGCAATATTTGCTTGGCCCTGTACGGCAGAGATAGGATTACATGGAATATTTTGAACACATTATACGACTACCGTACAGCCTCCGCGGGTCACCTAACAGCTGAATTTCAACATACGACAGGCTAACATCGGAGCAATAAATCAACCCCTAAAGTACTTCTACTTTTTACGGCCGGTTCTGTGCTCGCGTTAAGCGCCGAAAGGTCTCTAGAGCCTTCTTTCTCCCTTCCATCCACGCCTCATCAAGGTTGATACCGCGAGATGGCACCTTACCAGCCCACACCCCCTCGGAAGGAAGTCCCGCTGTGTTTCCAACGCTCGCGTGGCGGGTTTCGTTGATTGACACGCTTGCGTGTGTTTGGTTCCAATGATGAGGTCGGGCCGATTGACCTCAACGTGATCTCACTTGACTCAGGCACCAAACACCGTTTTTAAAGGTGCAGAGGGGTACCAGAGGTCCTCCGGAGGCTTATTTGGCGTGCCCTAGGCCAGATTGAACCCAAAAAATTTGCATGCAAATTTTTTTTCTGGCGGTCGGGACTCAACCTACTTACCCTACCCCATATGGCAATTGCTTATCCTTGGGCCCCCTTGGTTTTACTGATGCAGCAACCGACAGTTACCCAGAAAGGGACTATATCTAGTGGCAGCTTCAGGGAACGGCGAGAAAATCAAACCTGCCTATTTTCTGCAGGGAAGCGCTTGTGCAGAGAACGGCCGCGCTGGGCGAATTGGATTATGTAGGCACATCAATCAACATTGACAACAAAGCTGCGTAAGCCATCACGTGGCTCACAAACGCGTCTTCACGAACCAATCACGGGTAAACACGGCCCGCCGAGTCATATGTCTGTTCATCAAATCGATGTCAGTCAGTCACTTCAAGTCATACCTGCCATCTTGGCTTGATCTTGGCACACACAAAAAATAAGGACTGTCCTGGCGAGACTCGAACCCGCGATCTCCGGCTTGTTCTTTTGACAAGGACCGCTCGGCGTCGTTCCATTAGACCACAGGACCTTTCGGAGGTTCGCAGAAATCGGAGTTTGGTAGGCCGAAAAGTGCTGCTATTTTGTTGACCTGTCTTCGGGACGGTTTTTTTGTCGCCTTCAATGGTCAGTTGTATGACCGCAACCAGTCAAGGACCGCTTTTGTGTTGATTGACGGACAGCGACGTTTTCGGGATGTATTGTTACGCATCTTGGTACGTATAAATGAAACCAGGAAGGAATGAGACTGGGTGACCATGTGTGAAGGGAAAGAACGGACGGGGTACTTCGATTCTTGTTCCCATAGGAATTACATCGTTCCCCTGTGCAAGAAACTACAGTAGCTCACCCTGGTCGCCCGTCGCCCCGCCTTACTTCGCTCCGAGCGCGGCCGTGAGATGAAGAATATCAGGAAGGTTCGTTTGCCTTGTATCTGCACGGGGCATAATCATTTTATCATGAGAAGCGAAAGTAGCAGTAGCCGTGTATCTCGGCTCACCGCCCGATGCGTTTCGTCAACCGTCGAAAGTGCTATGGTGCGCTTCACTTAGTCACCACCTATTTGTGACAACAAATATTTCTCCCTAAAAAAACCCCAGATTTCTTATCCCTCTCGTAGAAGCACTCAGTTTGGTGATAGGAAACTTTTGACAAGAGGGATTTTGATTAAAGTCAAAAATGAGGGAGTAATTATTTTCAGGTCGGCCAAATTGGGACTGTACACTCAACCAGGCCCACTAGTTGCCAGAGCCCCTTCCTATGGTCTTCGAAGGATGTCACTGAGACTCGTACTCGGTGTAACTAAACTCTCAGAGGTGCAATTGAGTCTCTTGAGTCCCTTGGATTCAGCCAAAATTTATCCAACAGCCAAGCAGAGTTGGATGTCCTGTAGATTCAAGGCTTAGAGGAAGTTCAAAAGTTCATAATATGATGGAAGGAGTGTTTATGAGTGGCCAAGGGCACACCAAAATTTCAAGACAGGCACAGAGGGGTATACACAAAAGAAAAATCGGCCTTCGGCCGATTTGGGACTAGTCACATTTAGGTGGCGACTAAGTGAAGCGCACCATAAGCCGCTAAAATGCACTACCACAGCTAAGGAACGAAATTTCATACCACTTTCGGCGCTCGATACGACGGCGTTATGACGGTCTGCGTGGTGAGCCCTTTAGTGCGATCGATGCGGTGTTGAGTGCCAGAGCGCGCTTTGCTTATGTACTGCCGAGCGTGAGGCGCAAAAAGAGAGTAAAAAGCTGTTGCAGGCGGCATTGTGGTCGCCAGCTGGAGCTTAGTGGGAAAGGCAAGAAGGCGAGACGACGGGCGGAGTTTGAAAAACCTCGGGTCCAACCGTGTGCGGCCATTTTTCGCCGCAGTCAGAAAACGTGTCTCTGCATCTCCGTTCTCTCTTCAGAGTCCCTGACCGAAAAAGAACATCCTGCCTGCTCAGCCTCTCTTAACTTGCCATGCGTAGAACGGTCAGCTGTCGGCTTTTGGGGCTTCCGAATCTGGTTACCACTTCCTCTCAGATCTTCCTCTTCGATGGGTGCGTTGCATATCCATATTACTACTCCCTTCTCTTCCCCAAATCCACTTCGAAAGGCGACATACATGTTACGGGTACTCGCTCCTCCGAATCTGCGGGCTCTCCTTCTTCCGCGCACCCTCGAACCCGCCCATCCACCCTCACCAGATGACCTCTGTGCACGCACGACGCAGCTGCCACTGCGCTTCGCCCCACACGGACGCGCGGTTCTGCTTCTACCTCCTACTGCCGGTGAATGCCTGCTTATTTCTCCACACCGCTCCCTAGAACCGAACCCCGCGTTCTAGCGCAAGACGCCTTCGTTACTCTGATGTCTGCTGGCGTATTACTCTGTGCTGGGCTGGGGACGCAATTACTCGTCTGCGATTTCGCGCACGCGCTTTCCTTCGTGACCACGAACCCGGCTCCGTGATCCGTTTCTCCTCGATCCACGTATGCGTATATCCCCGGCTAGCGTCGTGGCGTCCGCCGACTGACCCGTCCGTCCCAGCGCGTGTGTCTGCGTGGGTTCCACCTGTATGGCCCGGCCAGGGAGTTGAATCATAACATATCAATCCGCTGGCTCTATCCAGGCACCACAACCGCATTATCCGATCCCGCCGCGTTCTATCTCGTATTCCCGTCCTGCCGAACGCCCGACTCGGCAGCGCTATCTTCTGTCCGACCCGCCGCCCCCAATCATGGTCATGATGCCCGCGCCCCATCCCTATCTGTGCCCTATCCCTTATACGCACCGCGGCCTAGATCGCATGCGCGCTCCAGCACAGTGCATGATGCACGCATGGAATCCCGTGTCTGAATAACCCCGCCAAGTGCTAGATACTTATTGTACTGCCCGACGCTTGACGCCGTGGTAAGTCAGCGCTAGCGTCCGTCTTCTGGGCTCCCTGACTCGGTAGGCCATTCCGTCATCTCGTATTCGTATATCTGTCCTGCGGAGCGTGCACTGGGTTATTTTCTGCCCATCGCCGCGCCAACGCCACGATGCCCGCGCCGCCGCGCCGCGCTGCCCTATCTGTGTCTATTCCTATGCATGCATGTACACGGCGGCGCCTTCGGTACTGTGGATCCGGAGGTCTCCGGCGCTCGCCACTAGTGCGTGCGTATTAATCCTCCTCCCGGGTGACACGCCGGCATCCACGCGCCAATTTAAGTATTTACTCATCCTGCATCTCATCCCCCGGGTCCGCCCACTTACTGACGGACCGCCGCGGATCCCGATTGCCCGCCGCAGACCCCCCCGACGGGCCCTGTCGCTCGTCTACATACACACGGCATGCGACCAGCGGCCCCGCGCTCCAATTTAAGCGCTTCCTAAGCTCCTGGTTCAATCATCCTACTTAGGTGCTCCTCGTCACACCTCTCGACTGAAGCAAACTAGGAACAAGCTCCTGGCTCAACCATCCTACGTAGGTGCTCCTCGTCACACCCCCCACCTGACCTACAGCGCAGGACAAACCTCGGCCCAACAACCGAACGCGGATCCTCGTATCCGCCTACGTGTGCTAAGTATCTGATACGTACGCCGCCAGGATTCGGAGGGAGGCGCAGCGCTCCTCCGCGCCGTGCAATCGGCCCACCCTAATCCGAATGAGTCCGGGCTCGAGATACGCGGAGGTTCGTATGCATGCGCCGCGTTCCCACCCGTGGCCGGACGCGCGCCGCGTATTTTGGTATTGCTGCATATCTGATACCCGCGCATGGTCGTCCGCCCGGGTGTGTCCCCGCTCCGGTTCAAGCGGTTGCTTCCGCGCACTCGCTTCCCTTCCTCCGGCCCGTCGTCTGCGTTCCCAGGCTCTGGTGCTTCGCTCAGTGACGAACCAGTACGCGTCGCCTCGGATAAATTTAAGACGCGGCCTGCGCAGGGTAGCGTTATCATGTGGTATAATCAATCGAGCGTGGATCCTCTATCTACAGTGTACACCGCGTTATCTGATAGCTGATACCCCGGGCTCCCCTATCATCCAGCCGAACGGCGTATCGATATCCAGAGGAGATACACGTCCCCCGTCCCCGTCGTGATGGTGCTGTTGCGCCACTACTGGATGCGGCGACGCCGCTCCCAGGCGCGCGCGGGATAGATGGTAACGGTATGTATCACGAAACTACCCTCACGCCAAGCCCCGGCACCGCGTATGCATTTCATTCATTCATTCATTCCGCCAAGCATGCGGGGTCGAGTCTGCGCCGACATACCGTGCAGCGAGGAGCGGTGCGCGGGAGCCAGCGCGAACGCGTACGGCTACCGTGATCAGGCACGGAGTGTACGAGTGGGTCCGCGCTTTTACTTTTATTTAGCTGCTGTGTGCGGCGTCCCGAGGTATTGTTGATCGCGCTAACGGATTCCATTATCGTCGCCGAGATTCAGAGACTCGATACTCGGTGGGAAAACATCGAAATGGTTGGCGTTGTGTATTTCCAGATCCGCCGCCGCTGGACGCGGACCCGGGTAAGTATGGAGTAGTATGTGCTGGCGGCGGTGATGCTTGTCATTGAACATGAATCTTGAACACTCCAGGGGGGAAACATCGGCTTCCGCCACTTACTTGCTTGCAGGAGGAATGGACTCGGAGAATGGAGAATGGATTGTCGATTGAACGGAGAATGTGAAATGAAGACACAGGACAGTGGGCGCGCACCGGCTCGCACGGCTAGATAGCTGGCAGTGATATACTGGTGATAGGTGGACAGACGGACAGATGGCGGCGCTGCGATGGCACGCACGCAAGCGCATCTCCGCGGACCGCCGGAGGGTTGGGCGTCGGCGGTGGATGAGGTAAGACTCAGAGCGAGTACGTCTCTCCTAAACAGGCGCTTCAACATATCCAACTCGTACCTCGTTTGTTGAAGGCCCCGGTACACATGCAGGGTGAAGCAACCAAGATGACATACGTAATAAATCCCACCGCGCACACGACCTGTAACCATAAGGTGGCTTGGCAGACGTGCGCTTGGCGGGGCAGCGGCGCTTGTGCGGGCACGCCCGGGGTCGCCACCGGGTGTCGGTGCTCCAAGCGATATTGGGGCTGGCTTCGAATTCGAATATTAAGTCCCTGCCCACAAATGAATGACTCCGCTTTTACGTGCTGGAGGCGGCGCCGGTACAGGCGGTCGCGCGCGCTGCCGCTAGTCATTGTCGAGAACCGTTTAGCGAACAGCAGAAACCGCGCCCTCGCCCGTGCCCATGGCACTTATCCAGTGGGTCCATGCGCGCGGGCAATCGCACATGGGATCTGAAGAAGCGGCAGCAATTAGTTGATTCTGCCGTGCGTGGATCTTCTATCCAAGTCTTCTAATTCGCTGTGATCTGGGGGATCCACGGGAGCTGCCATGATGAACAGTTGGCGGCGCACGCACGCGGGGTTTGTGTGAGCACGCGGTCGCGCCGCCTGTCAGCCTTGGCCGTGGAGTCCGAGATAAGCCAGGAGTAACCTGCCCCCCGGTCACTCACCCTCCGAGGTTCGCTGTAGAGTAAATCAACCCCCCAA